CAGCCCCTTTCTGTATCTGCTCTAGAATCACTAAGCATGGTCTTCATTGTGGACACCATCTCTGCAGTTATCTGAGAAATTATTTCTCATTTGATTTTTTTCCAAAGCCTCATTCAATTTTTTTGTTGTTACCAGTTCTCAGAGGCTAGGTGGACTGTCAACCCTCTTAAACCCCTGGGTTTGCTTGTGGTGAGCTGGATGTCTGGGTTTGCATCTTGTTTAAATGTCTTATTTTTTCTTTAAATTTTAGTTTAATTCCTGGGGTGATGCTTATAAATTGCCTATGATGATTTGCTTTATTGCTAATATTTAGAACTGTTAGGTAGTGTCTGCTTCTCTGAGGTATCTTTCGGGGTAGCTGGTTCTTGGGTTTTGACTCTGTTGGAAGATCCTACCTCTTCCATTTGTTGGAGATGAGAAGATGCTGCTTGTTTGGCCCAGGTTCTGATTCTTTGGCACTGTGCCACAGTATTATCTGTGACCCTTAGTCAATCTCAGTCATGGAGTATCAGGAATAACAGCTGCTTAGAACAATTATGTAGCTTTTGGCTATAATGGTATAAATAACATCAAATACAACCTAGAAAATGACAAACTGAGCTAACCATTAATTTACCACTTTTAACCATGTGAACTAGATTTATATTTATATAACAAAATCTAAAACAAGCCAGAAAATTATGTGCAGTATACAAGTCTTTAATAATGCAATTTTGTTCTCTGGGCTTAAAACTTAAAATGAGTTAAAGAGAAAATAGAGAAGTAGAAAAAAAGGAAGAGATTAGAAGTGAGGTTGGAGAACAGAGGTGGGGGAGTCACACTAACTTTGGGAAATTGGTGTAGAAGACTGGAGGGAAAGAGAGAAGAAAGAAATAAAAATAAAAACAACAGAACCACAAACACAAAGAGGCTGGAAATCACAATCACAGTCACATAAAAACAAGACCAAACAACAGAGAAAGAAAAAGGAAACAAAAGGCAAACAAAACCACCACCACTACAAAAAAAAAAAAAAAAAAAAAAAAAAAAGGAAAAGAAAAATGTCCACTTCTAGGTTTATCTCTGCTGTCACTGGTAGACAAGGTATGGAGATAGAATCACAATCCCTGCCAATCTGTCCCAGCAAGCCAGCAGTTGCCTTCTGACAGGGTGGTGGATAATCTCAGTGAGCCTAAATTTTCTGGTGGAGACTAGACTCATTCACCTCGTGGCCTGCTGAGAACCTTGTTTGGTGCTGAGCCCAGCTGAGAGCCACTAGATAGAGCTGACAGCTGCTCTGAGTTCTGAAATCAGCCACCCATCTCCAAGAAAATAATTTACACACAACAAGTCCACTGCTAATAAAAATTCCCTTGCAACTATTGTTACTGGTAAGTCATATCATCATTTATAATTTTGGAATGATCACAACTCATGATAACCTTCTGGAGATAAGTTATGGTCTTGTTAGTTTGTGTCAGTCAAAAACAGCAGTTTGGGTTATTTTTGGTACATACAGCAGAAAATTACCATGTAATTAAAAGTCACTGAAATGTAAACAAGTTCAATTTTGATAGCAAGAAAACAAAATTTTCCAGGGCATGGTGGCGCAGCCTGTAATCTCAGCTCTAGGTAAGATGAGGCAAGAGGATTGCCACAAGTTTGAGGCCAATCCAGGCAGCATAGTGAGTTCAAGGCCAGTCTGGACTACATAGTGAGACCCTGTCTCAAAACAAAACCAAAAAAATTTTATGTAAATGATAATATTGGGTCTAATATGAAAGAAAATAGGCAAAATTATGTTCATGATATAATATACAAGGCTAGGATATAATCAGGTATCTCATCAAGATATAAGAAACATCACATGATAATCTACAAATTGTGGCTTCCCAGTCACCATGATGTGAATGAACAGAGCATCCCATCCCCACCATGTACACCAGCCATGATGTTCTGTGCCACGACAGGCCCAAAGAAACAAGGCTAAGAAACCATGGGTCAAATTAAGTATTTCTTGCTTATAAGTTGATTTACCACAGACAATGGCTAAATTTTAATGTGAAAAGTTGCTCAAATTACCAAACTGAGGCACTGTACAGCAGACACTGATTGGCTGCTATGCAAGGTAATATGGAAAGATGGAGGTTGTGTTGTCATTGAGCACTTAAACCAAGCAGAGTTGGTCACTTGTTAAAGAGCTGAGGACCTTTCCCCTTCTTCACACTGAATTTTTAGACTCTCCCAACTTGATTCTAAGGAAAGCCATCATATCTCGTTTATCAGTAAACCTTAAATATTCAGGCCAGTTTGTACCCTATTTTCCTTACCAGTGACTTTTTAGGGTGGGCACATGGCCAATTCTAGCCAATGTGACATGAGACGGCTGTTGAGGTTGGGGAAGATTTCTTTGCCCTTTAGTGAGTATTGTCTGAAAACCAGCCACCATTTTGGATGGTGTTCCTTGGGGAGCATCCCTGAGGACAACATCAACCTGTGGGACAGCAAGATGGCCAACAGTGAGCCAGCACAGGCAATGAAAGGCAGCTAGCCCAGCCCCAATGCACATGTAGTCCACCACTGGGACTGTCCCACTATCGCCAGTGGAAGCCAAGAGAACCAGCCAGACACACCTTGGAAGAGCCTCAATTGTCTGGAAAAGCCTGTACCACATCTCACTGTCTCCAGGGGAACCTGTGTTAAGAGAAACCTAGGTGCTTGACCCATCCTCCTACACTGCAGATGGGCAGCTGACATGGGAAGTACCTGGGACTGTACAATCTGCTCATCCAGAGGAACTCAGGAAAATGTCAAGATGAAGGAGAAAAAGCAACCTCTAGCCTCTAGCCCAAACAGAACAAGTTCAGGAGTCTTGGACATGGAAGAAAGTGGAAGTTGCACACTTGAAATTTCTGGGATGATGGCAACTGAAGTGAAGAAACTACTAATGAGGCTGTAAAAGAAATCAGGTCAGAAATATTATCTCAGGTAACAGAAGAAATGACAAACAATAAAAGAGTTGCTGAGAGTTTTTAAAGAAGCCATAGGTTAAAAAAAAAAAAAAAAAAGCTTAGGACAATGAGGGAAACTTTGAATGAACAATACACAGAAGAACTGGAATGTGTGAAACAGATTCAGAGATATACAAGAAATTAAAAACTTCATTGAAAGCTGGCAAAACCACTCAAAAGAAACTGAAGATAGACTTTCAGACCTTGAAGACAGGATGGCAGCTAGCAATCATGAAAGGGAAGATCTCTTAAAAGTAACAAGGAATCAGGAAATAATTAAATGGCAAGGCATGCAAAGGAAACTAATTTAAGAATGATAGCTGTCAGTGAAAAAGCAGGAGTCAAGTGAGATAAAGAGATTATTTACAGAAGAGCTGAGAACTTCCAAAGCATGTGCCACAACCCATGTAGCCCTTAAGGTTCTTGGAGTGAAGCACCATGAGGGAATCAGAAAATAAAGGAGACAAAAGCTGGGGTCAGGTGGAGCCCTCACTCTCCTGATGGGAGAGAAGGAACTGCTCAACCACTATAGCACGTTTATTTGTACACTTGCAAGAATGTTAATTTCAACCCCACTGCCTAGCAACCTGTTTGTCTGGTTGGCCTGGGACGTCTACCTTCTTGGAACCATAACAACTTGTTTACACATCTTGTTTTGGGCTCTCTGTGCTTTCAGGGCTGGCCTTGTTTTAGTCTCACATGTGATCAATGTCCAGCTTCAGTGGCTCTCTACAAGCATGGGGAAAGGACCTGACATACAGGTAAGTGAAGCATATAGAGCCCCAACTAGGTGTAACCAAAAACAATCTATACCCAGATATATAAAAATCAAGATCCCAGAAAATCAGCACAAGAACAGAATATTAAAGGCTATTAGAGAAAAATAGATCATCTATCAAGGAAAACCCATCAGAATCATGACAGACTTCTCAACATCAAGTCAAGAAGACGTTGGAGTGAAGTATTTCAAGTCCTGAAAGAAAACAACTTCCAACCCAGACTGATGTAACCCGAGAGACTATGTTTCAGAATGAATGGAGAAGTAAGATACTTCCATGACAAAGAATAACTGAAGGAATTCATGACCACTAAACCAACCACACAAAGAGTACTGAAGGATATTCCAGGGAGAGATAAAAATGACCATGGTCCCTGCAACAGCAGCAAAGTGAAATTGCTGAGCAGGATACAATTGAATGGAGGGGAAAAAGCATGGCAGAGATGAACCAGTGTATGTTGGCTCTAACCATTAATGTAGGTGGCCTCAATTCACCAAAACAAACAAAACAAAACCAAAACCAAAACCAAACCACACAGGCAGAGTGGATCAAGGAACAAGATCCATCAATATGTTGTATACAAAAAACACATTGTCTCAACAGGAAATTCACAGGTTGAAAGCCAAAGGACAAAAAGCAATGCTCCATGTGACAGAACCAGAAAAAAGTAGTAGCAGCTTGCCCATCAACTGCAGGAAGGATAAGAAAGATACTGCATTTTTATACAATGGAAAACTACTCAGCTGTAAATGAGATCCTTGTAGATAAATGGATGCAACTTGTGATCAGCTCTTGGGTGAAATGGTTGGGACTCACATAGGTAAACATCATGTTGTCTCCCTAGGATTAAAAAAAACTGAAGGAGTTGGTGGGATCTAAAATGTATAATAGATATTGTGAAAGTGAAAGGGGAATAAATGCCTAAAAAGGGAAGGTTGTAGATACTGTTAATTCCCTATTATTTTGTTTTAAAGTCTTGTGTTGTTTTCATTGTTTAGTTTCGTTTTATTCTGTCTTTGGTTTGATTTCATTATATGTGATGACATGGATAGCTATTTCTAAGATAATAAGATATATTATGGTAACCATTATTGATTTTCTACTATCTTTTCTTGAAGTCCTATAGTGCTTTCACTGTTTTGTTTTGATTGGATCTACTCTATTTTATTTTGTTTGGCTTTATTACCTTAAAAATAAAAATTAAAAAATCTTTATAAAAAAATTCTGCAAGTTGTGTGAAAACATCAACTTTATCAAAAACATGTTCATAAGTCTCTCAAAATATATATCTTGATATATAATATGCAATTAAAAATATCTTTTGTTACACGGAATATAAAGTATACACATCAAAAATTTAAAACAAAGGTAATGGGAAAAGCTAACAATTTACAAATAGCATTAACAACATTTTTTTAGTGGCTATGCCTCCCAATTGTATACATGCTGCTGAAGAGAGCAATATATCTCCCAATTTAAAGGCTAAACAAAAACTTTGTAAATACTAATTCTACTGGAAAATAAAAAGCACATTTAAATTCACTATGCTTAATTATAAAACACATCTATTAAGCTCAAAGACACACAGAATACCTAATTATGTCAACTCAGTATTTTACATTGAACACTGCAAATATATAATCCAGATATTTATAAATATCTATAAAATATCCAGTATGTATTTACTGGAAATTTTATGGAGAAATATTGACATCAAGACTTTTTTCACAGCATTTTCAAAATAGACTTCCACATATAAAATTACTTCCCAGTGAGACTTCTGTCATGTAGTTTTTTTTTTTTTTCCTGAGACAGGTCTTAGTATATATAAAAGCTAGCCTCAAACTTAACTATGCATTCCAGATCAGCTCTGTAATGTATCTGATAATATATGTGTGTACATTCCCATACTGCTTACATAATATGGTTTCTCTCCTTTGTGAGGTCTTTATAGCTTTGGCAAATACCATGAATGCTGAAAGTTTTCCTGTATTGTTTAAATATACAGAATTAATGCCAAGTGTGAGTTTTTCCATGTATCTTATAGGAACCTTGTGTACTAAAAGCTTTTACACATTACTTAAATACATAGGGCTTCTTCCCAGTATAAATTCTTTCATATATTTTACAATAATGTTGTGTACTAAAAAAAAAAATATTGTGTACTAAAAGCTTTTCACACTGCATACGTACAAGGTTTTTCCCTTTTGTGAATTCTTTCATTTATTTTACATGAAAGTACTAAAAGCTTTCCCACACTACTTCCATACATAGGTTTTCTCCCAGTGTGAAATTTGTCCTGTATTGTACAAACAATACTCTTGTTTACTAGAACCTTTCTCACATTGCTTACACACATAAGGTTTCTCTCATGTGGATTTTTTCATGAAATTTACAATAACCCTGTGTACTAAAAGCTTTCCCGCATTGCTTACATACATAGGGTTTCTCCCCAGTGTGAATTCTTTCATGTATTTTACACTGACCTTGGGTACTAAAAGCTTTCCCACATTGCTTACATACATAGGGTTTCTCCCCAGTGTGAGTTCTTTCATGTATTTTACAATGATCGTGTCTTCTAAAAGCCTTCCCACACGGCTTACATGTATAAGGTTTTTCTGCAGTGTGAATTCTTTGATGTTTTTGACAATCACTATTTGTGCTAAAAGCTTTTCTGCATTGCTTACATACGTAAGGTTTCTCCCCAGTGTGAATTCTTTCATGTATTTTACAATACTGTTGTGTACTAAAAGCTTTCCCACATTGCTTACATACATAGGGTTTCTCCCCAGTGTGAGTTTTTTCATGTGTTTTGTAATTATCGTGCCTTCTAAAAGCCTTCCCACACTGCTTACATGTATAAGGTTTTTCCCCAGAGTGAATTCTTTCATGTTTTTGACAGTCACTATGTGTATTAAAAGCTTTTCCACACTGCTTACATACATAAGGTTTCTCCCCAGTGTGAATTCTTTCATGTGTTTTACAATGACCTTGTGTGCTAAAAGTTTTCCCACATTGCTTACATACATAAGAGTTCTCTCCACTGTGATTTCTTCCATGGATCTGAACATCACTGGGTGTGCTGAAGGCTTTCAAGTTTTCCTTATATATAAAGATCTTCTCTCTAAGGCGAGTTCTCTCACTAAAATTAAGGTTGGAGTTCCCACACTGATCATATTCATAGGGTTTCTCTCCAGTCTTTGTTCTTGCGTCCTTCTGAAAGAAGTGGAAATCACTGCAGGTTCTTCCATGTCCATTACACTTACACAGTTTCTCTTTTGATCCCAAATACTCATATGTCTTCACTCCAGTGTGAGCTATGGTGGCCATATTTAGGGGGTAGCATTTCTCTACCACTTCATTTCTGAAAAAGAAAAAGAAACAGTCAAATAGGCTTCCATATGAATGTTTTACCACAAATTCTGGCTTGATTTCTCCTAAAAATTATGACAATTAACTGAAAGCCCTGGAGGATACCTTCAAAACAGCCATTCCCAAAAGTGGTAGTCATTTAGGAATTTTTAAATTGGTATATTTTGCAATATAGAAGGCTTGGTTTCATTTTGGGCAATTGATTTACATGTGTATCACATATTGATCATTTTCATAGTTTTTCTCTCATCACTCTCCCCTTTCTCTCCTTACCATTTGTCTTCCTTATCTCCAAAAAGTCAGACTTTCCTTTTTTAATTGCTTCTCATTTATTTCACACCCTGCCTTTGGTTTCTCATATAAGAGAAAGCATGCGACTTTTCACATTCAGTGTCTGACTTATTTTTTCACAGTATAGGATGAAGGCCCACCCATTTCTCATGGCAAATGACATGACTATCATTCATCTTTGTGGCTGATAGCATAATTTTTTTTTAGTGTTGGGGGTTAAACACAGGTCTTAGTACTGAATTACATCTCCAGCTTTTTTTATTTTGAGAGAGACTCGCAGTAATTAAGTTGCTCAGGCTGATTTTCAACTTGCCATACTGCTGAATCAGCTTATCAGAGTGCTAGGAATGAATTACCATGCTGAGCCTATCAAAATTTTTCTTTATCCATTTATCCAATGATGGACATCGAGGCTGATTCCAAGGCTTAGCTGTTATAAATTGTCCTGATTTGAGTATGCATATGCATGTATCAGTATAATATGATAATGTGGGAGACAACTCCAGTGACTCCCTTTGAATACAAAACAGTGACTTTGATTATTTGGAGACTCCTTTCCTTATACTGATATGTAAAAAGCTGGTTAGGGTATTTCCTTCTCTCTTCAATTGGCTCTAAGCATAGCAAATAAGCTAGCTGAGGTGCTAATATGCAATCTCTATGGCCTACAGACAGTCCTGTTTCCTCACATAGTGTTCTCCGTGTACAGGATTGAGCACGCCAGATGTTAGAGCCAATAGCTCTGGGAATGTCAACTGGGTACACGCCTCAAGATAAGAGGCTATGACTCCCCAGGGCACAAGAATTTGCATATCAGAAACCAAAGCAATAGCCCCCAAAACAATTTCACTGCTACCCCAATTGGATTAGGTAAATTGATCCTTCTGCATATCTTTATCTCTGTAATTTACAGAAATGCCAATCTTGTACCTGGCCAGCCAGCTCAAATTACATAATTCCTGCCATCCTCACTATCACTCATCCCTGAGCCACCTCCTTTCTTCAAAAGATAATAAAGTCTGGGAGAAGTTTAGGATCAGGGTCTTTGTCCGCATGTCCTCACGAGGATGACTTAGGACCCCTTGGCTGCCCTTAACTTGGAATATGTCTTGGTGTTTTTACTCTTGCTGTGGGTTGCCATGGTGGTGGTAGATTAAAATTATCTTGCTAGGATTACAATGACATCTCAATGGGATTATAAATACAACTTCTTGGATTGTGAGGAAAACTAAAAAAAGGATTACAATTCTTAGATGACTGAACTTGATACTTGGGTTTACAACATGATAATTTTAATTCTTTTGAGGTTATACACAAGGGAGGTATTCCTGGACCAAATGGAACATCTATTTTTACTTTTTGACATCTTTTTACTGATTGCCATAGTGACTATACTTAACATTTCCACCAAAAATGTTGGAGGGTGCCTTCAAAGAATTTTAAAACATGAATGAACTCAGTTTCTCTGGATGGCTTGAAACACTTGTTATTACAACATTAGCATTCATTTGTACTTTGAATACTGCTTCAAGGTTAGCAATTTTTTAGATACTGAATTTCTCATATATAAGTAGCTATAATAGATACATCTATACCTAAATAGATATCCTGAAGATGTGTTTCTGTCAAAACTCAAAATTCATTTTTTAAAAATATACACCTATATACAACACCTAAATGCAATTTTATATACTTTCATGAAGGTGACCATGAAGGAACTTTTTGTTTCTGAGACAGGGTCTTGCTATGCAGTCCACTTTGTAGCCCACACTGGTCTTGAACTTGCGATGATCCTCCTGCTTTATCCTCCCCAGACTTGGGATTGGGGGCACACACTCCCAGGCCCAGCGAAAGAGCATATTCTTTGTACTTATGTCACAGTGTCACTTGTTGCATGATATCAGTACTCAGTTTTCTATATTGGAGTATTTCCATATTCAGTCCTCAGATTACACATATTAAAACTGTGTACATCATTGGAGAATATTTGTGAGGTTAAATAAATTTGAACATGGCCACATTTCTCTGGTTGTGATATCTATGTTCACACACTGACTCTTGAGGAACTTTCTTTTTTCTGAGTGCAAATTACCTTAGATTTCTCCAGTTATTTTTGTACTCTTCAACTTGCTTGTTATCCCAGGTTCTACCTGAATTGTAGACAGAAATATAAGGAGACCCTATATTATTGCATAAAAATGAACAAGTTTCAAGGGGTAGGGATACAGCTCAGTGACAGATTGCCTGCCTGGCAAGGGCAAAGTCCTGAGTTTGACTCCCAGTATTGCCCATCCTCCAAAAATAGATTCGTTAGATTCATGACATAGTATAACCAGGCCTGTGACATTCTTCAAAATATTTTCACATTCTACCTAATGAAGCTGCACTGATGAACAGCTATGTTCTGTGACTGTATCAATGATACAGTGATGTCATCCTTACCTATAACAGCCATGCTTCTAAAAGTTTCCCTCATCACATCTCTGTAGAGCTGCTTTTGGGTTGAATTCAGCAAAGCCCACTCTTCCTTGGTGAAGTTCACAGTCACATCCTGCAAGGTCAGTGGCTCCTAAATAATGACACATAGGTTTCTTGAAGGAAGGTTCAGACTCACAGGCTCTTCTCATTAAAAATTGATTTGAACGACAAATTTGATGGTGCATATCTGTAATCCCAGCACTCAAAGAGGCTGAGGTAGAAGTGCCTTGAGTTTGAGACTAGTGTGGGCTACACAGGGAGCTCAAGGCTAGTCTGAACTGTCTCACAAAAAAAAATTAAACAAAAACCTGTATCCTTCAAATACAAACTTCATGGGTTTGTCATCAAATGCATGCGTATGCATACTTTTTCAAAAAGCAATTCTGATACTGGATTGCCACTCATTGCTAAAGCAACAGCAGAACAGGAGCACTGGTTCTTCTGCGGGGCCACTGCAAGGGTCCCTGAGCACTGCTCTATGGCAGGCCCCACAGACCCCGAGGCAGTGAGTATCTGATGGATGTTTGGAAAGACAGTAGGCAATCTCTCTTTGAAATCTTATTATTTGTGGCAGTGAGTCTTCTTTCCCGGTTACACTTAGAAACTTGAATTTGGTTTCATAAAAAAAGTTGAACATCAAATAAGATTTATGAGTAGTAATTAAAATGCTAATGGAAAAAGTTTTATTTGGAACAAGTCTATGAGCATAGAAAATAGGGAAAAGGTGGTATTTTACCTCACAGTTCAGTGTCACACAATAGTCACCTTGCATTCAGAAGTTAGAAACTCTAGGGGTTATGGGAGAGCAATAAGGGAAAGAGATGAATAAAATATATTATGTGCATTGAAAATCCAATAATCAAAAAGTAATTATGCACAAAAGGAAAATTGCAGCCAGGTGTGGTGGTACATGTGTGTAATCACAGCACTCAGAAAGCCAGTGCAGATCACCATGGAATTAGAGTACTCCGCTGGCTGAACAGTAAATTCAAGGATAGTTTGAAATACAAAGTGAGATCTAGCCTCCAATGGCACCCCAAAACGGTAACTTAAAAAAACTGTCAGAAATGGCACCTTTGATTTGTTAAAAAAATTTATAGCAGTACTATATGATAAAAATTTAACATCTTGGGGCCAGGGATATAGCTCAGCAGCAGCACAAGTGGCTGCCTGGCAAGTGCAAGTTCCTGACTTCAATTCCTGGTACCTCTTACCCCCAGTGTGTTCCCCCCACATTAACATCTTCAATACCTTTTAAGCAATACTTTTTAAGCTAGACTACCTAACATACATAAAAAGTATCCAAATTCCATCTTTCATAAGACTATTATTACTAGATAGAATGACAATTAGCTCTCAAGAAAGTCTTCAATGTTTCTGCACATATACAGAATATTGATTCACTGATAGACTTGCTGCTGTATGCCTCTGGAGGAAATCACAGTCAGTTTTAACTACATTCAGGGAGTAATAGGTACATACCTGTACACCCAGATTGTATACTCTTCCATGGAAGATAATTGAATTACATACTGAGATAGGAAAGATAAACTTGAATGCCTTGAGAATTCATTGTGAAAAACTTTTAGATGTGAAAAAAGTGTTTCCAGCCAGTGTGGTGGCTCACGCCTGTAATCCCAGCACTCAGGAGGCTGAGGTGGGAGGATCGTTGTGAGTTCGAGACCACCCTGGGCTACAAAGTGAGCTCAAGGCCAGCCTGAACTGCATAGCGAGACCCCGTCTCAAAAAAAGACAAAAAAAAAAAAAAAAAAAAAAAAGTGTTTCCTCAGAAGACAATCAACTAATAGTCAGAATTTGAAGAACTGAAATATATCAAAATCATGGGAAATACTGAAGACAAGAAGAAAATATTTGCTGTTTACACAGTACAAAAATTTTGTAGCAGGAGTAAAAATCAATGAATACAAATTTGAAAAAATGACTGTTAACATATATAACCCAAGAGAAAACACCAAATAGAAAACAAGAACCAAATCTTTTTAGAGAAAATCATTAAAGAAAAATGAAAGACTGGAAGAACACAATAAGGAAGCAGACTTATTGCAACATGGACAATAAATTTATATACACTCACTGTTTTCTTTTGAGTTTACCAAAATCTGCAGACCACTGACTCCTTTCCACTGCTTAGAGAGAATATGTGTTATTATTCCTAGAGATATGTGTGAGTCTTTTCAAGAACTTGAAAAATTCCAAACCACATGGCAGCAGAATGGATGAGAAAGCACTTTGCCCTCGATTCACATACCAGGACTTGTGAACAACAGTGAGATGGAAAAGCAACAAGAACAAAAACTCCGTGAAAATATTTCTCTGGTCAATTTCTAGAATTATCATTTACTGAAAATTCCAAGGGTGGAAACTGAAAGAATACAATTTAGAAAAAGTCACAATGGTAAATTAGGAAGAGTCCCCAAAGTGGGAGAGTGGCCATCCATAGGCCAACAGAGGTTGAGTGAGGTAGATTTTAGTCACTCGCATCCTCTCAGCCAGAGCCTGAGGCCCAGTGATGAGTTTCCAAATAGTCCCAGGGTGTCATATAACCCTGCAAAATTGCAATTTAGAGTTCATGGCCTCAGTTCACAGATTTTTCCTTAGAATTTAACCAATAATTGCTCTCAGGAATCCTGCAACTTGGCAGAAACCACAGATATCGTCCGCAACTGTCTTTTGGTGGGAGGTTTGCAGGCAGCCAGTCCAAGAGCATTATTTAGTTCTTGCTGCTGAGTGGCTGTTGCCTTGCAACCCATCTCGGGCAGATACAGCAGGATTTCCGCATCATAAATGGGTGCTCTACCACATGTAGTGGTCTGTAGTATCCTCGGCTTTGTTCTTAAAGCCCTCAGTACCCTAGGATGCCACCCAAATGCCCCGCACCTGACAACACTATTATTTATTTATTTATTGGTACTAGGAATTGAATTCAGGATCTCACATTTGCCAGGCAGGTGCTGTACCACTGAGCTAAATCTCTGGTCCCTAACACTTTATTAATTGAGTATTTTATTAAATTATACAATTGTGTGAAACATTGCACATTTAGGACTTGAAATACAAAATTAAGCACTTATAGGCATTTTTCTGAACTGTATGGCACATCTGAACTGTATGGTTTGTCAAAATTTGTGAATGCTCTCGGAATATAACACACAGACACAGAAATAGTGCTGAATTATCCACTTACACAGTAGTGTAGCAGTTCACATGGCTTGGGGAAATATGAGACATAAGGAGGCTAGGTTACTTTAGGAGCTAAATAAAATACTCTAAAGGAACTTGGTTTAAAATATACTTTTTAAAGTGAATAAATCAGGAAGTAAGCAAAGGTGGCATAAAAGGCAATTTTTATTTAAAGAATATACAAAGACTGTAGAGAACTATTTGTAGCGCAGCTAATACTAACACATGTAGGAAGAAAGGCAGGAAAGAGGGAGAGTTTGAGAAGGAGCCAATGAAAAAAGAAGAGGCATGAGAGCCACAAATGGAAGCAAGGAGCTATAAAGGGGAAAAAGGGAAGGGACAGAGGAAGGAAACAAAGCAGAGATGGGAAGGGGAAATAAAAAGAAAAAGCAACGCGGTAGGCAGGGAGAATGAGCAGTAAAGAAGACAGATGGAGAGAAGAAAAGGAAGAAACTCGGAGGTCAGCGTGCATCTGTTTACACCCAGCGCCTCCGCACCAGGTGAGAGTGCGAGGACAGGACTTCCTGTTGTCTTGTCCCTCGGAACAGAAGTGGCAGAACTGTTGAACTTCTGTGTCAGACCCTGCAGAGTGTCCTCAGAGATACTTTAGAATCTGGGCTGGAAATAACTGCCCTAGGAAAGGCCAGAGCTGGCCCAACACCGTGAGGTTACGGCGATCTGCCATCCCTCAGCAGAGGAGGCCCTGAAGACAGCAGACAAAATGAAGTCAGAGAGAGGACAGCGAGGATACACATCTCATGTGATCACACACCTGACGAGTAGAATTTCTCCTCTGTACAGGGCACCCTCATGAAGGAAAATGGGGCAGAGAAAATCTTGGATAACATTAGACTCACCAAAGGCAACACAGAAATCTAGTATTGTCACCATAATTGCCATAACTGAACACATTCCTGGATAAAGCCATAAGTCAGACACTAGTGCAGAGGCCAATGTGCACACAGTAACACATATCCAGGCCAACAGACAGGCCCATAACAATGAACTGGAAGTGCATGTAGCAAATGGTAAAGAACAAGAACACCCGGTGAGTCCAGGACACACAAGTGATAAAGAAAAGGAGGCTCAACAGGCCCATTGATAACGACACTGAGCATAATGCTAGAGACAGGAAGAGAACTGGCTGGAGCTGCCACAGGAAAGCAAAGATTCCTCCCCTCTGCAAATAACCTGAGACAAGGGTCAATATTTCTCAACAAACATGGCTATTATATATGCTGAGATCCAAAACAGAATGAAAACACAATGTCGAAATTTAAGTTGTGACACAGACCAAATAGTAACTTTATGTTATTGGCCAACTTGTTGGGCATTACATTGTCTTTTTTCTCATCTATACTGTTTAATAGCCTTAACATTCACTGTAGTGAAAGCTAAAACTGAGACCATTATATTAAGTTCTTAAGCCAAAATTGAACAACTCACTGGGTTTTGGTAACAGTGCCAGAAAAGGCATCACTGGGAGCATTGCAAACAGACATGGGTGATCAGGGTGTAAACTTGTCACAGTGAGCATGTTCTAGGAAACATATTTGATTTAGGCATTGTTTCAATGATTACTGTAATGTATTTATTTTTAATCTATATATTTAGCATTCTTATCTTATTTCTATATATTTAGCAGATATCTTATTTCCTACTGAATTAAAAATGGAGATGGGAACAATGCTATGCACTTGAAAACTTAGCTCTTTGGGAGACTAAAGCAAGGGGATAACAATTTAAAGGTCAAAATAGCAATTTAGCAGGAGATTGTATTGGTATGAAACTAGCAGAAAAATTGCAAATATCTTACAAAATTTCCCTGAAATTCAAGTAGTAAATAGCACATCTTCATTCAGATAGAAATAGACCAACCTCAATCAATATACCTATGTAGATGGTTTTGGTGGCGAATTTACTACCTGTCAGAAACATTGTTAAAAACTGTTAGTTCTTATGTACTTTGCCATATTCGGATAATAGATATTAGATATACTTACACAGTGTATAAAACAAGAAATGATTTTCCCCAAATTAGAAATTCACAAAAATTCTGTAGGACACAAGAAATTTTCCTTCAATTATAAAGTATAAATATTATGTAAACTGTAATAGATAGCTACTACAAATAATAAAGCAGGAATAGCTTCACAGTTCCAATCTGTTTTCATTTCTCCCTGGAGAGATGGAATACTGGACCTCAGTCACACTTAACTATATTATCAGTTCACTCAAGTGGTTTTGACATGAAAATACATGCTTTTCATTATTTAGACAGGGTCTCATTCTGTAGTTCAGGCTGGTCTTGAACCTACTAGGTAACCCAAGCTGACTCTCAGACTTGTACTGATCCTCCTGCATCTTCGTCGCAAGTGCTGAGATTTCAAGTACGAGTTACCACGGCTAGCTGAAAAATACATTATGAAATAAAGTTCAAGCCAGGTGTGGTGGTGCACACCTGTAATCCCAGCACTCAGGTGGCTGAGGCAGGAGGATTGCAATGAGTTTAAGGCCAGCCTGGGGCCACAGAGTGAGCTCAAGACTAGCCTGAAATACAGTGACAGGCTGTCTCAAAAAACAAAAGAAAACAAAACAACAACAAAAGTTTCAATAGAAATTCATGAAATAAATTTACAAATACAGAGATTTAAGTAAGTATTCTAGGATATAATGTCAATGAATGGGAAATACCTACTTTCAGTTACATATATATCTTTTATGAAATATATTTAGCAAGATATTTGATCAAAAGCACAACAATTTATGAAACAGGGATCAATATATTAGAAAAGAAGCCCGGTGTATTGGTGCATGCCTGTAATCCCAGCACTTGGGAGGCTGAGGCAGGAGACTCACCACAAGCAAGGCCAGCTTGCACTCCATAGGGAGACCCTGTCTCAAAAAAACCAACCAACAAAATACATGAAAATGAGAACAAATATGAGGATAATGGAGGAGGAGCTCTGAGAAGGATCTCACTTCTGTGACTCATGCTGAAGATCAACTCTTGATCTTCATGTATTGGCCTCTTTTTGTTGGCAGTACAGATTATACCACTGCACCTTTGTAAAACGGGATATTATAAAGAAATTAAAAGTGTAACTTAATTTTAAGTTATTAAATTTTAGATGGTGGAAAAATTTTCAGGAATGTATGAAGTTATAAATTAGGCAGACTGTGGAGAATAAAATAAATTGGATCTCATGGCAGTAACCTGCTTGAGTTCAGCTGAGAACCTAGAGCCCAGGACAATGCCTCATGCGGGTCTATTTCACTGACCTGTGCTGGGAAGGCCCGAATGTTAGTGGTGGAAGCTAGAAAGACTGTGCTAGCAGGATGAAGGATCTGTGCCAGTAGGTTGAGGGTTTTGTAGTGAGGCCAAGAAGCAATGCTCAAAATAAGGACCAGATCTCCCCTGAAAAGTACCACAGCCATTCTCAGCAACAATGAGGTTCCAAGCTCCTCCAACAATGTGAACAGCCGAGTACATATCAAGAATCCAGTGTGACAGGTTCTCCAACAGCACTCATCTTCCCCTTTGGAGTCAGGGAGTGATGCTCATAGTAAGGACCAAAACTCCCTCAAAGTGAACCGCACCATTCTCAACAAGGTTTGAACTCCTCCGATGATAACAGCAGAGTTCATATCAGAGGAGCCAGCATAACAAGCTCCTCCAGGAGCACCAACGGCTCCAAACAACAGCAACACTTAGGAGGACCCACAACACTCTCTTCCTCGCCAGGTCTCCTTTGTATGCTGGCAACAGTCCTCAGCAGGGCATCCACACTCAGCACCATGCTGATTCAGTTCAGCTAGTGTTTAAGGTGTTTAAGTTGACCTCTAGTAACCAATTCACTACACCAGTAAAAGAAATTCTAAATTTAACAAGCATCTATTGAAACTACTTCTGAAAAACAAGACAGTGTTACACTTATCAAACCTTCAATTAAAAAGTAAGGCTGGGGATATAGCTTGGTGGCACAGCACCTGTTTGGCAAGCACAAGGTCCTGAATTTGATTCTTAGTACCAAAAAAAAAGTAGAGGAGAGTTAACCCTTTCCCACTACCTGGCATATGCTATACAGTTAGTCACTTAAACTGGAACTCAACCAACGTGTAGAGTCACAAAATGTATAAAAAATACCAAGAAATACATTTGCTTTAACCAAACTGAGATTTGATAAAGCTGACAGTATAAGTATAAAATGTGATTCATCACTCCTTTATGGTGGTAAATTGCTCATTTTATATGCAAAGTATATCTGATTTTTGCATCACAAACACTGAAATGTGCACTTTAGGTAGATTTAAAAATTATATAAAATGTCAAAATAAAATATGGAAAAAAGCACTACTGAAGAAAATCTAGGCCAAGTATGGCGTTGCACACCTACAATCCCAACATTCAGGGGCTGAGGCAGGTGGACTGCCATGAGGTCGAGGCCAGGCTGAAGTATAGTGAGATCCTGTCTCCCAAAATTGATATAACACAAAAGCCAGGAGTGAAGAAATCTTCAGAAAGAAAATTTCAAAACCACAAATGTTACAGTGATTTTGAATATACAAAAACCAACACGATTTCTGCTCAGAAAAGGAAAATACTTCATAAAATTAACATGTAGCTGGGATAGTTAAGAGAAGGAATGTTGATTCTCTTCAAGTGACAAAGAATACCTAGAACAAAACCAAGATTTTATCAAAATAATTCTGCATCACAAATATGAGGATAGGGGCTGGGGATTTAGCTCTGCGGCATAAGCACCTGCCTTGGAAGCAGGCGGTCGTGAGTTCAATCCCCGGTACCGATAAAAAAAAAAAAAATGAGGATATAAGCATGGAAGGGCTTACATAGGAAATGAAAAAAGTGTATAAGATGGATACATAAGAGAAGACTGTGAAAAGATATAATTAAATTTCTCTATAAATCCATGAAACATTGAATTAGAAAAAGCCTAATACGGGTTGGCCATTAGAAGTAGGACCTATTGCCCCCTGGTGGTGACAGTGTGGATAGCATACATTAAGATTTAAATGGAAGCTCTGAGTATCTATGGCATTTTCTCAAATCTGCTTCTAGGGCAGCAAAAGAATGCGCTTCGTGGCATTTACACCAGTGACAGACCTAGACAAACCTGCTTTCCCTTGACTGTGGAAAGCCAACGAAGATGTTCTGGAGACAAACAGTGGAGACCCTCTCAGGAGATATATGTACAGAAATGTGAATAAATCTGGAAAATAATATTAAACGAAACAAGTAAAATACAGGATAAACTCTCTAACATACTCTCACTTCGGTACACTATTATATGTACATGAGATATACAGCTCAGGGGTACAGCACACGTACAATACTTACCAGTCCTAGGGTCTATAGCCATAATAAATACTGTACCTGAAGCTATGGTGTATAACAGAACCGATGAATCTGCTCACAAGTGCGGAAAGAAGATATACCTGTAACAGAGTTGTGACACTGAGCACTAGCTCATTATTCTTTTAAGGGCTGTCCTGTATGTTATGTGACATCAATCAACATCCCTGACCTCTACCTGTGCTCTAAATCTTGCTGATGCTCTACATTATGATTATAACAAAAAAAAAGTTGAGACACATTCATATGTTTTCTGATGTGATAATCACCAGTGACCAAAAGCTACCAACTTAGCAGGTGCAGCATGAACATCTAAGCTCCTGAATGACAAGGTACCCAGAATGGGCAAATGAAGACCTCAAGAGCTGCCAACATTCTCTGCACCTCAAACCCAAGCAGAACGAATGACACTACCCAAATAATCGGATCTTACACACTCTCTCCTTGTCTCTGCCACCTGCACTACTTTGCAGACGTCACTAATGTAAAAAGCCTGACCTCAATCCAGTGCTTGATGTTCTATGATGACATCACTGGGAGACTCAGAGGACAGACGAAGGGGCGCCTCAAACTGAAACTCTGTGCCTTATCTCAACTGTGTCTCTCTCCACAAGTCATTTCCATGGGTTTCTTCAGGATGTCAACATGGAAGTTCTGTTCTCAGAGTTTGGGGAACCCAGGAGACACTTTGGGGTATTTTGGGGAATGCAGTCTCTTGTCACTTATGGGACACATAACAGAGGCTCATGGTTACCTTTTTCCCTAGAGAGACTAAACCAGTACCAGGGGAAAGGGTCTTGGATGCCACAATGCTAGGCAGACCTCCCTTTGGCCCATTAAGGTGATGGAAATGGAAGGGGGTTATAGGAATAAAGAACCCAGTACCGAAGGCAGAGGCTGATGCAAGATAAAGCAGCTAGAAGTATTTCCAGAATCAGCATAAATTAGAACTAGAAATGGAGTGTTTTCTCTTTAGCTTTGCATGTGGTTGGTGTCTTGCATTCAAACGGTTCCACCAGTGTCTTCATTGAAAAGGTCAATACAATACCCTTGTCCTGGTAACGTAACCCAAAGTACGACTACACTGGGGGACTGTAAAACAACAACAACAAAGTCAGAGCAACGCAAGCAAATACACAGATAAGCCAAAAAAATTCCCCAAGTAATCTTCCCTTTGCAAAATAGTCCTCATACTATCTTCTGGTTGAGCTGGTCTGGAGAAACATTAATACAGCATTCCAAACAGGATACAATCTGATGAATGTCATGTTCTATGAAAGTCTTTTGAAGAGTTGAAAGAATGAATCTATGACTGCTACTTGAATTTGAAAGTGAAAAAACCATAACTGACCCAAAGGAAGTTCACACAATCCTTCCATTACTGTCCCCGAAGAACAATCTGACAACAACCTGAAGGAGTTCACAGTTGTTGCTGATTTCACCTTCCTCCAACAAGTACCTGTTCTTCCATGTCCTTTTCACTCTCCTTTGCTCCTATTCTTTTCTTTTAAAGAGAAAAAAAAAACCCAGAAAAAAAGGGTAGAAATAATACAGAATTTCAGAAAAACAAACAGTAAGAAATCACTAGTTGATAAGTTATATATTGTCATCTTAGAAATAGTTGTTCAAGTTACAAAATTAAAGCATACAAAGTGATATTCAAATAATGACACTGCAAACAGTTCTGCTCAATGATCCAACAAAAAGTTAGTAATATGGTTATCAGTCCTACACACTTGTTTTTTATCTTAAAGAGGGTCAGATTAAACATGTCAAAACAGAACAAAACAGTTCATAGGGAAACAATTTAAAGAAACAGATTTCAAAGCAAGTCCACATGCTCCTCCCTATTCAAAAAACTATTCATTCCTGTTCCTTCACGCACCTGTGGACCCTAACTATGGGAATTTATCTCTACTTCGATGCTGGCTTCACAGGAAGCCCATTTCAATCAACATCTCAAATTCAAAACAATGTGTAGGCGCAGTCCAAGAACTGTAGCAAGTATTTCAGAAACAAAAGCCCCCGTTTCCTTTCCACTACTACTAGCATCACTCACATGACCATGTAGAGAGCCTAATTAAGTTTCTCAACTTGGATTTAATAGGCAGCTCTTTCAGAGAGGTTCCTTAGCAAGAACCCCTTCCCCTCCTTTGGTAATAATTCACCTCTTCCCCCTTGTCCTAAGCATTCTATACTCTCTGGAAGGTCACATTTAAATAGCCTAATGCAAAAAATGTTTTACTGAGTTACCTTATGCATAAGGCACCTAGTAAGGGAAAACAGCCTGAGACAGTTGGAAAATAAGCCATATTGATTAGCGTTATAATAACAGTTATCTACAGCCAGGGAACCAAGAATCTACTCCTTCAGTTCCACCTGGAAAGCAGCCCCTTCCCTACTACAGGGAGTTGCAGCCACTCTGCTAAACTCCTGATTTTCCAGGAATTTAAAGTGCAAAATAACCTGCATTTCTGTGTAATTCCAGATTTCTATAAAACTTACATGGTAAAAAGGATGTAAGAGTATAAGTTCCAATGGGTCAGTTAAAAAATACATGTTGCCATTAAACAATTGAGCAGTTCCTGTGCTCATTATCTGTAATATGCTCTGGATTCAGCAGCCACATGGCACCTACTCAGGATGCATCCAAGGAGTCAGTGAGCTACACTTATTTCCAAAAAAATTCTCCTAACATCCTGTTTTTGGTTCATGACCTCATTCCACAATGTGGGGAGAACACGAGCCTTATTTTATTGTATCATTGAGAGCAGGATTTCACTACCTGCTTAGTAAACAGTGCCCCTAAGTCACATCATCTGCAATTTTAACATTTTTCGTTTGGATTTTTGTAGCACTTATCAACACCTATTATAACTTTGACAATACGGAGAAATTTTGAAAATTTAGGAATTCATTGGGCGAGAGAGGAGTTATGGTATGAGACCCTGCATCACAGACATTTGAAAAGTCAGATCCTCTACATCTGCTACTAAAATGAATGAGACCAGGAACATAGCACATCCAGCTGCACCCAGCTCCAACCCATACCTGAATCAGGGTCTTTCCAAACCCCCGCCCATGGGTCTCCCCGCACTGCTGTAGATGAGGCAGCGCCTGGGGCCACGCAAGATGGCATTGTGGGGCAGGAATGTCACAGTGGGGACTGGATACAGGGAACCCAGAACCAACCCTGACCCAGTAGAGGAAAAAGGGACAAAAACACCGAACATCAGGAGAACCTCAGGATCTGGAGCTAAGCAGGGAGGCTATGGTTCCCCACAGCTGGTTTTGGCCACTTTCTTCCAGACCTAGTCCCGATTCCATCCCATCTCCGGCTTCTGGCCTATAACATCACCATTGCGCGGCTTCAGGGTGTCCCACAATCCTTCCCAGGCAGCGTGCAGCCAGTGGAAGTCAAAAAAGGTGTCCCAGCAAGGTGAGCGCAGCTCACAGCTGCTTGCTCCGCACTGGCACTGGAGCGCCTCGACACCGGAAGACCCCCTCCTACATTGGCCCACCTGATTGGACAATTCAGGCAGCCCGCCTCTTCATCGCTGATTGGCTCCTGACCCATTGCCCTCCCTCTGAGCCCGGAGTGAGTAGAGAAGTAAACTCCTGTTGTACGCATGGGTAGAGCTCAGTGATAGGTTGCAACCCAGGAACTTCTGGGCAAGTCTGTTTCCCACGATGACAACCTCACCTCGCCTAATAATAATTGTATGTAAGCAATTTACTCCTGGCTTTCCAGACTACCTCTGTTTTCTTAATGGACTTAGTGTGCCGTTCCTGAAAATGGGGTTGTGTGCTAAGAAGGTTCCAAGGTCAGTGTCCTATGGAAGAATTAATCCCTTGATGCAGGAAAATATCACGGGTACAGGCCAGGGCAAGATAAAATGGAATGGATGGAGAGCTGGGTGTTTGACAGGTCATTGTTTGGGATTGAGCCTGCAAGTTCACAGACAAGGTTTTTACACTGCCAATTCATTCATTTTCAGCTGATGAAATGAATATATGCCTCCTAAAAGGAACACAATTTTTCTTTTATTTACTTTTTTTTTTTTTTTTTTGGTCTTTTGAGACACAGTTTCATTATGCAGTTCAGGCTGGCCTTCAACTCACTTTGTAGCCCAGGCTGGTCTTGAACTCACAGCAATCTACCTGTCTCAGTCTCCTGAGTGCTAGGATTACAGGCGTGAGCCACTACTCACGGCTAAGGAACACAATTATTGTGTAAGCAAAGAAATTAGAGTTAAATAATAGCAATAGTCTCAAAAAAGTAAAGATGAAAGAAAAGCAAATATTCCAACTCGTTTAGAAAAGCTTCACACTTCACCCTGGTTGATCATTTTTAATTCTGAGACCCTACAAAGACCCTTAAATGACACAAAAAGAGATCTTTTCTATGCTCATTGTATGGTTTTTATCTTTATTGCTCCCTCCTTTTTTTGAGAAGCTACAGTTCCAAACTATAGATAAAAATCACACACAAGAGGAAAAAATAATTAAGAGACAGCTTGTTTTTTTTTGTGTGTGTTTTTCCTTTTTATTGGTACCGGGGATTGAACTCACAACTGCCTGTTCGCCATGCAGGCGCTTATGCCACTGAACTAAATCCCCAGCCCCTTAAGAGACAGCTTGAAAGGTCAGCAAAGGGAATACATAGAATTTGCATAATGTGATGGTAAATTTCAGCCTCAGAGTCAGCTCAGTGCGATATACTTCTGAACGCAATTGCATTTCACTCTTCCCATTTATTTTCCAAAAGTGGACATGGGTTTCACTTTGGTGATGACTTTTACCTACCATTTATACCTGAATTCTTTCAAACTCAATCTGTTAAGGAGTTTTTGATTCTTGAAATAATACACTTTTTCCTTATCATTTTTAGCTTTGCCCACCACTTCACTCTATAGTGTAGTTTTGTACTCATCAATCTCTTCTGTCAAAATCTACAAAACCCATGAGATTTTATCGGACAATTTTTTATTTCTGTGGTCTTTCTGCATGTTTATGGCTTGGTTTTAAATATGTGTGCTGAAGATCAGAATTATTCCTCTAAAAACAGTCAAAGTTTCAGCCTGCATGGTGCTGATAAAATTTTCAGAGCCTTCCTGTGCTATCACAATCTACATACTGACAATATTTAATGATGTCCTCTTCATGCCCAGCATACCTACATACCTTTGGTTCAAGTTGCTTTTCCACCATCAATGTTGAAAATCTACCTCTTTTATTTAAGTGGTTAGTTTTACACTCCCTTCTTTCATGTTCTCATGGGATCTTTCCCTTTTTTATTTTCTCACATTGTCACCACTATGAGTGTTGTGTTCATTTGATTTGCAAGTATTGTACCTACTGAGAGACAGCAGTAACTAAGAATAAGCTCGTCTCTGCCCTCATCTTCTCAGGGCTCAGACTGAGAGATTTTCTTATGAAAGCTTGGAATAAAGTGTGATATAATTCAGCTGTCTGTAAGAGTTCAATAATGTTGAAAAACCATGCCAAGGAGTGCTAGAAGATGTTGAGAAGTGGTAATGTTTAAATGAGGCCTGAAGCATGTGTATTCATGATGAAAGAGAGACATGAAGAATTAATTTTCTTCCGGATAGAAGAGACAGCATGTGAATTTTAGGGTACATACAGATGGAACTGTCATGATGGTACACTTGGTTAATACATTCATGGTTATTAGAGTGTTATCCCAGAAAGCACTGTGATACACATCTTCACCTTATGGTGGATATTCTTCATGGGCTCTTCTGAATCAATGTCTACTGTGAATTACTAATTCATAAAGGAGTCCTCCATTGGCTTGCAAAATAATGTACAACATGCATCCACTTGTCTGTAGCGATGTTTGTTTTAAGCTTATGTCCATGATCATATGCATGTTTGAATTGTGAGTTCTGCTACATGGAGGAGAATGGAGGTATACAAGGACTTCAGATTGTAAGCTTTGCATATTTCCTCCTCACAGGTTTAAATTCTCTACCTTTGGACACTAATATTCCTGGAAGGAAAATATTATGTGGTATCATGTGATACTCTTGTTTACAACTGGTTGCTTGGGAGATGTGTAGGATATTTGTAAAGCACACTTCTAAGTGTATCTATCTTGGGGCTGGGGATTTAGCTCAGTGGCATAAGCACCTGCCTTGCAAGCAGGCAGTCATGAGTTCAATCCCCAGTAGTGATAAAAAAAAAAGTTTATCTATCTGGTGAGTCATGCTAGTGTGACCTGAGGGACCAGATCTGGTCTCTGCCTTGAGGCTTCATCCATTCTCTGTGGTTTCTGTTTCTCACAAGGTAATTACTCTTTTTCTTCAGCTGTGTTTACATGATGTTTCTGCATTGGAAGAAGTCAAACCCAGACTGCAATCGATGAAACAATTTTTTTTTAAAATTTTATTTAAGGAGAAAAAGAAAAAAAAAACAGAAAAAGGGTACAAGTTATACAGAATTTGAGAAAAAACAGTAGGAAATCACTAGTTAATAGATTACATATTGTTATCTTAGATATAGTTGTTCAATTTATAATATTAAAGCATATAAAGTGGACTTTCAAACAGTGAGACTGCAAACAATCTGTTCAATAATCCAACAAAACTCAGTAATATGATTATCTTATCTATCTTATACACTTAAATATACAATGCAGTTATATCCTTTAGAGCATGCTGAAACAATTTTTTTAAAAAAATTTGTTCTTGCAGCATTCCAGATCAAAGGCAAGGAAGGCTTTGCCTGTGCTAGGTAAGCACAGTGCCAGTATCCGACCCAAGCCCCACACCCCTACCTCTGCAGCTGCATATTTTTGTTGAGATTTGCTGATACTCTGACTTTGTTTTTCTTTTTAGAGAGGTGATGTCATTATATAGCCCAGGACAGCCTCAAACTCACTCTCCTCCTGCTTCAGCCCTCATAATTGCTGGGATTACAGGTTTGTGCCATGACACTGAACTTTTGAGATTTTTGTTTACGCCAGTTTGTTCCTATCAGCTCACATATGGTGCTCATTATGAGACGTGTGTGAACCCTAGAGCCACACAGAGCCTAAATCTGTCAACACAGCAGTGTCCCGCGCCTCCAGCTTTCTAGGCCTGGCTGTGAGCATCGTATGAGGGAGCTGGCACAGCAGTTTACATGATGTTGAGATCAGTGAGTGGCCTCATCAGATGGGGCAGGCAGGAAACACATGTAGGACCTGTGAAATAGGAGCGGAGACGTGCCTTTGTTGTGACCACAGCAAAGGCTTCTATGTGGCTGTGGGTTCCTTTCTCCACGGTGGTGCGGACACAAGCATGTTAGACTGGGATGGACTTTTCAGAGAGCTGATGACCTTCACATTTTCTCTGAAGAGCTCATCCTGAGCAAAATCAAGATGGTAACTCCAAAGCCCGGTGGCACTTGCTCTCTGGCTGCAAGCTTTACTTCTTAGCTGCAAGAAGGAGGCAAGCCAGAATTTCCATACTGGCTAATGAGCATTTTTTTCTGTGCTTATTCCTTCTTCAATTTTATGGTAGGTCTTTTATCTTATATTCTAATTAAAGTCATTTATTATCTATAGAAACAGTCTTGGCAGATTCTATAGAGTTGCATAACTTAGTTTGGTGATAGGCTCAGTTTTATTTCTTCCTTTCAAGTTTTGTTGCCTTCTTGTACTGGCTATAATCTCCAAAACAATACTGAGTAGAAATGGTAAGAATAGATTTCCTTTTTTTCTTATCTTAGGGAGAAATTTTTTTTAAATTTTATTTTAAAGAGGGTAAAATTAAACAGAAAAAAAATATATCATAAGAAAACAATGTAACAGATGACACAGATTTCAAAGCAAGACAACTGGAGATCTTCACTGTCTATCACATTGTCTCCTGTTTTCTTCCAAATAGTTGTCCATATCTTCACATACAATGAATTCATACTAAACAAGATAGTATAGAACTGATCAGAACAGGAAGATGAAGGCATTTTAAGTCTTCAAGACCAGACAATAAGGAAGTCAACAATGACTGCCATAATATCTCTCATTCTCCTGTAAATAGCTGTTGACACCTTCACACATATTGAAATCAAATAATAGGAACAGATGAAAACCAGTCAAAACAAAGAATAAAAGCATTATTGAATTCCAAAACAAGATGATAGAAAATCAGCAATGGCTACCGTAATGTCTTGTTTTCTTCTAAGTAGCTGTTCATACCATTACATGTAATAAAATCAATTCTTGCAAACTCTTTAGGCGATCTAGGCAGGTATAAGCCTAGATCCATCCTTTCTGTTTTAGAGGGAAAAACAAAACAAAACAAAACATAATACAAGAAAAACAAGAAACAAAAGAGACAAATAAATAACAGTAATGAAGAGACCAAAACAATAACAATATAGGCTTTCAAAACAAGATGGTAGGAACATAACTAGGGTTGTTATTTTGCATAGTTATCTTCAAAAGAGTTACACAGTTTACCAGATATAAACATGCAAAATT